CTTGGAAACAACTTGGGCCGTCCTGGGGCGGTCTTTGGGGCCTCTTGGACCGCCTTCAACGCCATGAAAGGGGTAAAGCCGTATATGCTAAAAATGAACGTTTTCCTTCAGAAAATCATTGATTTTGGCCTCGTGGGGCCCTCTTGGGACGCCTCGTGAGCGCCCCCTGGAGCGTCGTGGAGGCATCTTGGGACGTCTTGGGGCCGCCTTGGGCGGTCCTGGGCTCTCTTGGAGCGCTCTTGGGCTGTCTTGGGCGCTTCTTGGGCCGTCTTGGGCGCCGTCTTGGCTGCTTCTTGGGCTGTCTTAGGCGCCTAAGACGGCCCAAGACGCGCCCAAGAAGCGTTCTCCGATGATGTCTCGAACGAAACGCTGTTTTTAAGCCCCGAAGGCCGTCCTACTCGATACAACACGAGGCGGGACAGTTATTTTGGGGGCCTCTTGGCAACATCTTGGGCCGTCTTGGGGCGGTCTTGGGGGCCTCTTCGACCGTCTTCAACGCCGTGAAAGGCGAAAAGGCGTATATGCTAGAAATGTACGTTTTCCTTACGAAAATCAATGGTTGTGGCTTCTTCAGGCCCTCTTGGGGCGCCTCGTGGGCGCCTCCCGGGGCGTCGTGGAGGCCTCTTGGAACGTCGTGGGGCCGCCTTGGGCGGTCTTGGGCTCTCTTGGAGCGCTCTTGGGCCGTCTTGGGCGCTTCTGGGGCCGTCTTGGGCCGTCTTGGGCGCCGTCTTGGGCGCTTCTTGGGCTGTCTTAGGCGCCTAAGACGGCCCAAGAAGCGCCCAAGAAGCGTACTCCGATGATGCCTCGAGCGAAACGCTGTTTTTAAGCACCGAAAGCCGTCCCACTCAATAACAAACGAGGCGGGAAGGCAATTTGATCTCGGGCGTCGCGATGCCAACCCCCTCGAACTCCCCCAAGTCCAATTTCTTCCGGCTAACGGACCGCACGCTAACGCGCGCTTTCCGTCATCTCGGGCGTCGCGATGCCAACCCCCTCGAACTCTCCCAAGTCTAATTTCTTCCGACTAACGGACCGCACGCTAACGCGCGCTTTCCGTCACCTGCTTGGCACGGGGACGGAAAGCGCACTTACTTTCAGAGCGCACGAGATCGCTGGCTCGTCCGCTCTTACACCTCTTATTGACTCCCTTCCCCTCGCTCTTGTCCCATCTCAGCCTCGGAGAGTCGCGGAGCTTTCTTTGAGCGCGTTTCTTGTTTTGGAGGGGGCGGTCGGGTCGCGTTGCGTTTGCCGCGTTTGGGCTGCCAGCTTTCCAGAACCCCGCGTTGTCCTTGCGTGGATCGCTCGTTGTCCACGCGTTGCCGCCCGTCCCTGTGTCCTGGCTGCAAGAACTTATTACACCGCAGCTCTCTGTTGGGAGCTTTGGTCTTATCAGCTCGATTACGTCACCGCTCGCTCTTGGGAGCCGCGGTGCTAAGAGCCTTTGGTAGTATTGTGGGCCTTTTGGAGAGCTTTTGGGGAGCCTCTTGGGTGCCTCCTGGGGACCTTTTGGGGCTTCTCGGGGGCCTCTTGGGGCCTCCTGGGAACTTCTGGGCTGCGGGGGTGAAGGGACTAGGCTGCCTTTGGCCGTCTTTGGGCTCTCTTGGGGGCCTCTTGGGGCCTTCTTGGGGCCGTCCTGGGGCCGTCTTGGGCCGCCTTGGCGCCCCCTTGGGCCGTTTTTGGGCCCTCTTGGGGGCCTTTTGGGCCTTCTTGGGGCGCTCTTAGGGGCCTCTTGGATAATCATGGGCGCCTCCTGGCCCGTCTTGGCGCCCTCTTGGGCTATTTTGGGGGCCTCTTGGGAACATCTTGGGCCGTCTTGGGGCGGTCTTGGGGGCCTCTTGGACCGCCTTCAACGCCATGAAAGGCGAACAGCCGTATATGCTAAACATGCACGTTTTCCCTCAACAAATCAATGATTTTGGCCTCGTAGGGCCCTCTTGGGACGCCTCGTGGGCGCCTCCTGGGGCGTCGTGGAGGCCTCTTGGGACGTCTTGGGGCCGCCTTGGGCGGTCTTGGGCTCTCTTGGAGCGCTCTTGGGCCGTCTTGGGCGCTTCTTGGGCCGTCTTGGGCGCCGTCTTGGCCGCTTCTTGGGCTGTCTTAGGCGCCTAAGACGGCCCAAGAAGCGCCCAAGAAGCGTTCGCCGATGATGTCTCGAGCGCTTCTTGGGCCGTCTTGGGCCGTCTTGGGCGGGCGCCGTCTTGGCCGCTTCTTGGGCTGTCTTAGGCGCCTAAGACGGCCCAAGAAGCGCCCAAGAAGCGTTCGCCGATGATGTCTCGAGCGAAACGCTGTTTTTGAGCCCCGAAGGCAGTCATACTCGATAAAAAACGTGGCGGGAGGGCAATTAGATCTCGGGCGTCGCGATGCCAACCCCCTCGGACTCCCCCAAATTCAATTTCTTCCGACTAACGGACCGCACGCTAACGCGCGCTTTCCGTCATCCGGGTCTGACGATGCCACCCCCTCTCGAACTCCCCCAAATCCAATTTCTTCCGACTAACGGACCGCACGCTAACGCGCGCTTTCCGTCATCCGCCGCCCCCTGTCGGTTCATCGCAGGGGTGCCTGGCGTGCTGGGCCCTTTCGGTTTTGGTTTTGGTTCTTTTTCCCAAAGAACTCCCCCTGGCGCTTCGGCCCGTCCCGCCAGGGTCCCGGGAGGCTCTTCCAGGACCGCAACGTCCACAAACCATCCTCCAAGACGGCTCAGGATGGCGTCCAAGATGGCCAAGATGGCCTCCAAGACGGCTAAGATGGCCCCAAGATGGCCCAAGATGCAGCCAAGACGGCCTAAAATGGCCTCAAGATGGCCCAAAACGGCCCAAGAGGCTCCCAAGATGCCTCCAAGACGGCCCACGAGGCCTCCAAGAGGTCCTCCAGGAAGGCCTGAAGAGGCCAAAATCATTGCTTTTCCTTAGGTGTTTGAAAGATTTTGGCATTTGCCTCTTCTCGGCATTCCGACGGCTCAAGACGGCCCAAGAGGCCCCCAAGATCGCCCAAGAGGCCCCCAAGAGGGCCCCATGACGGCCCAAGTGGCCTCCAAGACGGCCCCAAGAGGGCCCCAAGACGGCCCAAGAGGCCTCCAACACACCCAAGATGGCCTTTAAGACGCCCAAGATGACCTCCAAGACGGCCCCGAAGCGCCCCAAGGGGGCCCCCAGTCGGCCCGGAAAGGCCCCCAAGACGGCTCCCGACAGCGTCAGACGTGCCAGGAACCCACCAAGATGGCAGAAGTTGGCTCGAAGCTGGCCCAAGACGGCCCAAGAGGCCCCCAAGAGGGCCTCCAGGAAGGCCAGAAGGGGCCAAACACCTTGATTTCCCTAAGGTTTTTGACTGATTTTGTTTTTTCCTTCTTTCCGGCCTTCCGACGGCCCGAGACGGCCCAAGAGCCCCCAAAGATCGCCGAAAGATCGCTCGCCCAAGAGGCCTCCAAGATGGCCCCAAAACGGCCCAAGGGGGCCATAAAACGGTCCCAAGAGGCCCCCAAGACGGCACAGGAGGCCTTGAAGACGCCCAAGATGGCCTCCAAGACGGCCCTGGAGCATTCCAAGAAGGCCCCAAGTCGGCCCAGAAGGGCCCCCCAAACGGCTTCCGACGGCGTCAGACGGACTAGGAGCCCACCAAGACGGCCGAACATGGCCCTAAGATGGCCCAAGACGGCCCAAGAGGCCTCCAAGAGGGCCTCCAGGAGGCCAATCATTGATTTCCCGTGGGTTTTTGAAGGATTATGGCGTTTGCTTTTTTTCTGCCTTCCAACGGCCCGAGACGGCCCAAGTGCCCCCCAGACACGGCCCCAAGAGGCCCCCAAGACGGCCCAAGAGGCCTCCAAGACGCTCAAGATGGCCTCCAAGACGGTCTAAGAGCCCTCCAAGACGTCCTCCAAGAAGGCCCAGACGGCCAAGATGACCTTCAAGATGCCCACGTGTTCCCCGAAAGCTTTCCAAACCGATTCGGGGAACACATGGTCCGATAGCTTGGCAGGTCTTGCCTCAACGTTCGGCCATATAGGCGCTTCCCAAAAGGCAGGGGGCGGCGGTGATTCGCCGTAGGCGTCTTCGATAAAGTAGGTTCGGGGCGGGTCGGGTCGGGTAGAGTAGGCTATGGTAGAGTAGAGCAGAATAGGGTAGATGGTATGATATAGTTGGGTGGAACAATTTACGCACGTATATGTAATAGAGTAGATCAGGAATCTAATATTGTGGTGCAGGATCGAGGATCGCAATTCGATTAGAGTGAGGGTAGAGTAGAATAGAGCAAGACAGATGGCATAATAGAGTCTGGTAAAATAACATAGAGTAAGGGAGAGTGGAGTAAAATTCATCCCGGTCCAATCCAATCTGCTCCATTCCAGTCTGCTTCAGTCCACTCCGGTACATGTCATTTCAGTCTTCAGATGTATTTGGAGCCTGCGCTGGCGGAAACGACATTCGATCAGTTTCCAATGGATGCTGGGTGCTTCTGAGGAAGATAGCTGTATGCGGCGAGAAGAAGATTATGATACACATGGTAGCGCGGATGATGAAGAGGGTGTCGGGGAGGCGGATGAGGTAAGTAAGCGCGGCACTATGATGGGGTAGTTGGGTAAATGGGAGTAAGGCAAAGACGATGCTGCTGATGATCATGATGATGACGGTGATGACCAGAGGCTTGTAGGGGAACGATGCGCAGGAGCGGGCACGATTTGGAAGAAGGCGAGGGCGTAGCGGAGCGTCTACCCCCGACCGCTGTCGGTATCCACCGGACTGGTGATGATGCTGATGGTGGGGCTGCTAATGATGAGGACGGGGAGCAGCAGCAGCACCAACAGTAAAACCAGCGGCTCGGCGCCAACGGGGATGCAATGCAGAGCTGCGTGGGTTCTGCGAGGCTGTTGGCCGCCCTCGGACGCTCCACACATGCCTTCTTAGAAAAGAGAGCGGCTCTCCAGAGAAGGTGGCCGCCCCCCTCTCACAGCACACCGCCCACTTTACCGTGCTCAGTGAGGCTGCAATTGCAACGACCCGAGGCACATGCTTTTCTTCGTCAGGTGCTGCGACAAGGTAGCGTGGTCCAACAGCGCCCCGCACCCGTGGCATCTGCGCGGGGCCCAACGCGCCCCCCTCCTTCTCTTGCCCCCCTTCCTGCACCTCGTCAGCTTCTCCGTTCACTCCCTCGTCCTCCTTCTCCTCCTCCTCCTCCTCCTCCTCCTCCTCCTCCTCCTGAACCCTCCTCGTTTTGTTCCTCATTCTTCTCCTCCTCCTCCATCACTTTTTCCTGATGCATAAGCCCTCCCTGTCGCACCACAAGACGTGCCGGTACGGCGGGCTGGGCGTTTCGCTTGAGACTCCCCCACCATTCATGATCCTGAGGCTTGCCATGTGGAACAGCTTCACGGATGGAGGGCGGGCTGTTTTCAAAGTGCGGCTCTCGTCGTAGCCCGCGCACAATCTTCCCAAACGTTCGCTTCGGGTTCACGGATGGAGGGCGGGCCGTTCCCGGAAGGTGGCTATCGCTTTGGGAGCCGGCGCGTTCGTCTTACAATTGTGCAGCAATTTCACGGATGCAGGGCGGTTCCGTTTCAAATTGTGGTTTCCGCTTTGGCGCCGCGCGCATTCGGCTTAAAAGGCTTGCAACAATTTCAAGAGCTTCTACGTTTGACGTCCCAGAAGCGGTGGGTGTTCTGGTAGAATTTGCGATTGTCAAGACGTAACAATCACTTTGGTTTCCTGGCACGGTTTCGGAATGTCAGCACGCGACAATCACGCTCATTTGCGGCATGGAAACCCAAGAACAATGTTTTAACGCGAATGGAGATTTTCGAACGATTGTCTTCCAACCAGGCGCATCCTGTAGTGACCCATGACGAGAGAGTTTGGAGGGAGGGATTATTGCAACATCGCGGATGCGTCTTGGGTTCCCGCTGGTCCTCCTCCTCCCTCCTCTTCCTTCCTTCTCCTCCTCCTCCTCCTCTCGCGCCCCCTCGCGCCCCCCTCCTCCTCTCCCCCTCCTCCTTTCTCCTCCTTTCTCCTCCTTTCTCATCCTTCTCCTCCTCTTCCTCTCCCCTCCTCCTCCTCCTCCTCCCTCCCTCCTCCTCCTCCTCCTCCTCCTCCTCCTCCTCCCTCCTCCCCCTTCTCCTCCTCCTCCTCCTCCTCCTCCTCCTCCTCCTCCCTCCTCCTCCTCCTCCTCCTCCTCCTCCTCCTCTTCCTCCTCCCCCCCCCTCCAACTCCTCGTCCTCCTCCTCCTCCTCCTCCTCCTCCTCCTCCTCCTCCTCCTCCATGCTCCTCCTGCTCTCGAGGAAACGCATACATGGATTAGCGACGCGTAGACTAGCAACGGGTTACGTTTTCGTGTAGAGGCGGCAGAGACCTCATGTTTCGGAGTACCTTCCCTGATCCATGTTAGTGCGCCCGATGCTCCTCCTGCTTCTCCTCCTCCTCCTCTTGTCCTTGTCCTCCTCCCCCTCGTCTCCCTCCATCCCTCGTCCTCTCCCTCTCCCTTCTCCTCCCCGTCCTCCTCCTCTTCGTCCTCCTCTACCTCCCTCTCCTCCTCCACATTTCCCTTCCTCCGTCCTTGTCCCGCTACTCCTCCGCCTGTTCCTGCTTATCTCCTCCTACCTGACCTCCCCCGTTTCCGTCCTGCTCCTGCTCCTGCTCCTCCTTCTCCTTGGTCTTCCTTCTTCTACTGCTTCCTACCCCCGCCATCCTCTGGCTACCCTCTTTGACTGCTCTCTCTATCTTTTTTTGTTGTCTTTTGTTTTTCTCTCTCTCTCTCTCTGTCTCTTTGTCTCGCTTGGTCTCTCTCCTCCCTCCCTCCTCCGTTCGACATCCCGCAGGAAGAGGCCTTCATACCGCCACTTCACGAGTTTCAAAGAGCATGTGCAAACACACGGGCATCAGCAGCAACTTCGGACGGGCTCTCAGGATGACCAGTACGCAGATTCGGTGCACAGCTTGGGGCTATGTATTACCCAGCGATTGTCAAAACATGCCTAGCATTACTGTAGAAGAACCGGTACAATTGCAGGGGATGTGCTATTGGGATATCTGGAAAGGGGCTGCGCACCCCTCGTACCCCGAGCATTCTCGTTCAGTCGTGGTGTCTCCGCGCGTCGGGAAGAGGTGTCGTATGCTGTTGCGCACTCCTCTCGTACGAGCATTACCAAACACGGCAGGAGATACTCAGTATGGGGTCATAGCAGGTAGAGGGTTGACATGGCAAGCCTAGCTTTAACGAGCTTTCAGCCGATTGCAGCAGGGCAGAAGAAGTGCGACATCTTTCTGATGGCGGACGCGGTCCAAGCGTTTTAAAAAGCCATGCGGCACACGGCCATGGCATCCTTCTGAGCTTGCGATGACTACGAAGGCCGCCAACTTGCCGCCGGCAACCGCGCACAACATAACTGAGAAGCCCAACCGGCCTACGCAAGCACTGGGGAGAGCTGGTGCGTCGAGGCACGTACGCGCGCTCACAGCCGCATCATGCCAAGGTGCATGGCCCTACTACGCTTGGGCTCCTGCGCTGGCCTTCCCTATGCTAGGATCTATCCCTGGGCAACACTTCGAGGATGTCGTACACAATTACGTCATGGCGGAGCGTGTGAATGCAGCAATACGTATGCTACACGAACAACAATGCACAGATACCTACATGTACCGACGCATTGCGCACGCGTCTCGTGGAGCATGGTTCCGACACCACTGTGCAGGCCATCGACATCAACTATTTCGATGATGGCGCCTTTGTGGTGATAGGCAAAACTCAGGATTGTTCGAGCATGCCCCCAACATTATCAGCATCGCGGTTACTGCTTTCACCTCATGAGGGCTCACGCTGAATATGAAACGTAGCCAATCGGAGTGCCCGTTCAAGTTCAGGGGGCAGGGATCGGACAAAGCCAACATCCAACTTTGGAAACAGATGTCAGGTGTCATCCAGGTGAACACGGAAGCCATAGGACAAATACATGTGCATGCTGCTAGGCAAAACCCGCATTTAGGCACCATCCTGGACGTGAAAGCCTTAATGGGGCTGGAGATGGCACGCCGACACGGAGATTGCGCAGCCGCCTGGCACCCACTTAGGAGAAGAATGCACAGAGCCATGAGACAGTCCAAGCAGAGCAATGGAATGAAGATGCATGTCCTGGACTCCCTGATCACACCTGTTCCCAGCTATTCAATGCCGGCATTTGGCACAGCATCGCAGAGGCGCAGGGGAGACTTTTGGCGGTCAGTAGTGTTGCTACATACAGGGCTGCCGCCCTGCTTCCGAAGAGCGATACATGTGGATGATGCATGTGTGCTTGCTACAGTGCGACGTGCAAATATACATGAGCAGTTGCGTGTGCACAAGTTACATGTATGGGGAAGGTTACTGCATGTAGGTTCTGACATGCTTTAAGGTATGGTAGCTATGGCGTATCAGCAGTCCGAAGCGTCCCGGGTGCATGATGTGTGTGTGTGTGTGTTTGTGCGTGTGGTGACTTGATGTGGTCACGACATGTGGCTACCAGACTCAACAGCAGCGATGAAACCACGGGAACATATGGTTCTCAATTCCCACTCTGCATGTCGGACGTCTCTCGACAATGCGCTGGAAGCACAGGCAGCTGCTGCTCGTCTGCTTTCGTGCGCCGCCGAAGCTGAAGACGACTTTTTCACGCAGGTCGGGCAGTGTCGAGTCCCACTTCAAACTGGACATCCCGACCACCCACTACTTAAGGCGGAGTTTCAGAGTCAGTCCCGCCTCGAGTGTCACTGGTGCCACAGTGGGTTTCCTGCAAAACAGCAGGCCCTACAGCAACATGTTGTTAAGCACCACTACGCGATCGTGAAGCATATTGAACTCATAATGGGACCATCCAACACGTGCCGAGAATGTGCCACGGAGCTTTCACGCAGGCGACAGGTCAGGGACTACTTGGCATTCGTCTCGGACAGGCGCTGTCCAGTAATTGAGGTCCCACCCATGCTGGCGAAGCAATGGGCACTGGAAGACACATCAGACATGCTACAGCAGAGGAGAACTGGTCTAGGCAGGTGGAGGTCGCAATACCCGGCTACGCCGTACATGCCATCCGATGGCCTCATCTGGGACTCCAAGATTTCATGTACCACCTCGATGACGAAGCCCAACGAGTGCTCCGACATATAAGCCACCTGAGGACCCAGTACAAGCACAGCTCCCAGGGCCAACCAACATGTAAGAAAAGGTTCTGCATCTGCGAGGGGGAGCGATCCACCGTCGCCGGCCTGAACACTGGCCTGGCGAATCATCCAACCATCTGCAGTTGTGAGCACCGCAGTTGTGAGTACTGTCTGAGGTGGAACTCTCCATGGGGCAACGTCCGCGTGCGGGCTGTGTCGCTAGGGCCTTCGATGGAGCTCCCTATGGGGCCACGAAGCGTGTGAGGGGTGTGTCGAAACGGGGGTGTCGCCCACATGCGGGCTGCGCCACTGGGACCGCAGGTGGAGCTCCCTATGGGGCCACGAAGCGTGTGAGGGGTGTGCCGAAACGCGGGTGTCGCCCACACGCGGGCTGCGCCACTGGGACCGTGGGTGGAGCTCACTATGGGGCCACGAAGCGCATGAAGGGTGTGCCGAAACGGGGGTGTCGCCCACATGCGGGCTGCGCCACTGGGACCGTCGGTGGAGCGTTCTGTGGGGCCACGAAACGTAGGAGGGGTGTGCTGGAACAGAGGTGTTATCCACATGCGGGCTTCGCCGCTGGGGCCTTAGGTGGAGTTCCCCGTGGGGCCGCGAAGCGCGTGCGGGGTGTGCCGAAACGGGGTGTCGCCCACATGCGGGCTGCGCCACTGGGATCGTAGGTGGAGCTCCCTATGGGGCCACGAAGCGTGTAAGGGGTGTACCGAAACGGGGTGGGAGGAAGAGGGAGGGGGCAGCGGGAGGAAGGACGCGGGGCGATGTCTCTTCAAAACGGGGACCCAACACCACAAGATGGTCGGGACAAATCTCTAAGGGGGGGGTCAACAACCAGGTGCCCCCCCCTCTGAAACAAATCCTAATGGGGGGGTCGGAAACCAGGCGCCCTCCTCCCCTTCCCCCCCGACCCCGGGCAGAACCTAGGAGGTCCGCAC